TGATTGTGGAGGGCTCAATACCAATTTAAGGGCATGTTTTCTCGATTCATCATCATTTTTATCCCGTAAATCCAAGATAGTCTTTTCATTTTTTGAAATTTCAGATTTACAATAGGTCAAATAATCTCCTTTCTGCGTATCAACGCAAATTAAGCGTGCCTCCTCCTTTATAGTTGCATAGATATAATTTTCTATTTCAATAGATAAAATAATTGGAAAATGAATGATAAAAAAATAGAGTTTTTTAAGCCTATATAACATATTTTACTTCTCTGTGCAAAATAATCACAATAATCCAGACACTGGTAACTCAAATGGTTAGTACTATATATGACGCATTGACCACTTTGGCATCTCCTGAAAATGATAGAGAATTGGCAAAATTTTAAACCAATTTCTATACTTACTGTTCATTTTTTTTACACTTTTTGAAATCTATTTTTTGCAGTTTTTATAAATTTTTTCAAATTATTGATAATCCATTTAATATTGAAAAAAATTTGTTTTTTTCAAAACTTACTACAATTATGCTCATCACTCTTATCAGGACAATCATTGCTATAATCACATACAAGATGCACGGCAATTTCTCTTGAACCGTCTAAACAAGAAAATTTGTCGGCCTCTCCAAATGTACAGTTGATCTCGTCACTTTTATCATGGCAATCATAGAATGTATCGCAGACATATTTAACATTTATACAATATCCATCGGAATGACAGTTAAAGACTGGATTGGTTTTGCATGGTTCTTTTTTACTATTGAATGTCAGATATTTCAGTTTATCAACCGATTTATCTATCACTTCTTATCGGTGAAAGAGTAGATGATATCAAAAATGATATTTCAAAAATTAACTAATTAACTACCATATTTAGCTTTGCAAACAAAATATTGAAATAGTTTTTCATCAAATTTACAAGGAAAAAATGAATAGACGTCAAAATAATTTGATTTTCTAAAATATCCGCAACCGTCTTTCATTAAACTGTACATTTCTGCATAACTGCAAAATTAGTGTCTTGTATATAAAAAATTATATAAATTATAATAAATAAAAAGAGAATATTCACTCTAATTGGTTATTATCTGTCAAACTGGGATTTAACATTCCAACGTATTCAAATGGAACACCATCGCTAGTCAGAAAATTCAAATACGTATCATTGTAGGAAAATCCTATTTTGTTATTGAATATATTGTTTTTTAAAAGTTTGTCAGTAAAACAACAAACAACAACCTATTGGTATTTTATATAGTGGCATTGGCCTACTAAGGTTATCAAGTCCCATTTCCCATGAATTGATTGCAAAATATATAAACTTGGCTTCATCTCTGAATGACACACCCGATATATTTGTCTGGCAAATTGTACTAGCTTGAGTAAATGTTGACAAACTACTATCAACAGATTTGCAAATGTAATAACAATATTTTACGAAAATAAAAGCGTTTGAACATTCTGGAAACTTTTTTGGGCAGCCTGTTAAAAATAAAAAAAAGTTCAAAATGGAAAATATCTACCAGTTTATATAATAATAAAAAAAAACAATCTTATAGTATGATCGTAACAAGTTATCCATAATTCATTGGGATTGATACGATTCAACCAACTTTCGAGGAAATGTTCAATTCTACACTGGCTTAAGGATGCTGAATTTTTGTTACACTTGATACTAAAATATACAAATGATTTCAATTGTTCAATCTTATTGGCAACCGTTTTCATTTCAAATTGTCCACTTTTAAAATTAAAATGTTTACATATCAATTGTATTTGATAATAGTTTGAATAAAGACTGGAAACTGGTAAAGAATAATTTCTATAATAGGCCTCTAGCCTTCCAGAAAATCTTGATTGGTTACTCTTAGAAACCAATTTAAAATTAACATTTGATAGCAAAAACTTGAAATCTAAATAAGAAAAAATGTCATTGGAAATGGCACAGAAGTTTGTTTTTTTCTAAATTGTTTGTTCAAAATACAACCATTAATACTGGAAAAGTTTGCCAAACTCTTTTTGTCAAAGCATTTCACACCAAACACTGTATGATCATTAAAATTTAGCCGTCTTTTTACAGTTAAACATTCAGTTATATGTTTAGCGTCGTTTTTACATCTATAAACAGATTCTTTCTTCAATTCTCTATTACTCAAGTAGAAGAGAATTTGATACTGATATCTTTTAAATGGTAAACTTGAAGTTAATTCATTGGAGAATGTCCTTGACATTTTACATAATATTTTTTGAGTAATCAATTCTTCTTCGAATGAATGAAATTCAAATATTAATGGTATAAATCTGTGATTTTTAAAATATCCTGGAATTTGAAAATTGCTATCAGATTCTTTGTGATTTTCATCAGTAAAAAATAAATTGTTTTGTTTGAAGACAACTCCATGGAATGTTGTTTCAATTTTAAATTCAAAATTTTCACCAAAACATATTGAATCTGGGCAAAATTTTAGAGATGAGGTTAAATTTTCATCTTTTATCATTTCTAAATGATCAAATTCTATAATATTTCCACAGCCTTTATGAGTTGTTTTCAACAGACAAAATGCAGTGTGATTGTTGTAAACTCTTTGATAAACAGTTTTCATATCAATTGTTAAGGAAAAATAATCTGAAAGGATTGTTTGTCAATAGATATACTTTTTTCTCTCTCTCTCTCTCTCTCTCCTTCTCAATTATCATCCTTACATGTAAGACTTTTCATAAAACATTTAACCTTTGTTGCATATTTTGTTAGTAGATCTTGCAACTGAAAGTAACAAAGATTGTTCTCTTCTTCACAGGACATGAAATAAATTCTATTATGCCAATTCTGTGTAACTTCAATATGAGCTTCAACTCTATACTCATCAAATTCTGAGAATTCTGAACAAAACCTTTCAATATCTCTCCTCTTCTCCATAAACAGTAAATATCTGTGAGTGTAATGTTTCAAGCTCGTACTAACATAGCCCATACAGTATTCTCTATTGCAGATTTCATCGGCAAAATCCAGTTCTAATTCATCTAACATTAGCAACTGTTAAGACAAAAAAATATGCTGGTTACTGTCTTTTTTATGGAAGATATCCCTCCCCCTCCTCCCTCTCCTTACATTTACATTTTGTATGGATTTCCTTAGTATACAACATAAGAAACAACTGACTATGCCTTTGTACTGAAACATTTGCACCATTCAAAAATCTCTCCTCAAACAATCAGTAATTTATAAGACTTTTCCAAATCATGCTTCAGATGATTAAATAGATGCTTTGTTCAATGAAAAAATATACCAAACTTTTGTCGAAAGAAACTTAAAGCTAGAGAAAAGGATTTAATTAATTTACTTTTGAAAGAGACTGCAAAATGAATCCAAATGAAATGCAACAACCAGATCTCTTGTTGAGTTAATTAAAAAATTAGATAAACTTATGGCTGTGTAAACGTATTAGTTGGGTTTGGAAATATTTTTAACTAGTTTTAATACACTTAAACCAAGGCTTAGTAACCTCCAACTGGAAAATTACATGCTAACCTCTGCAAGATCTGACAAATGTGGTTTAGTTTACAGTCTTCCAGACATCTACCTCATCTAAGCCTACAAGGAAATTGAAATATGGGCTAAGAGAAGTACAATTTGAGTGTACTTTGTTGTATTGTAATTGTAGGAAATATCTTTTAGTGAACGCTAAATTCAAAAATGCTTTCAGGAAAAGATGTATTAAATGCTAAACGAACTCAACACCAAAAGTATATCAAAAGGTGTAAGTATTTTCAGGTTTAGTAAGAAATATAATTAAAAAATAATCACATTGTTAGAAATATGTTGACCGCTTTTTCCAGAAACATCATAGCAAATATCAGCTGTCTCTTTTGTTTTTTCAGTGAAAACCCTCTGCGAAACGTGGGGATCACCATTTCCTCCTGGAACTATATGTTTACGCGTTTTATGTTGTCTGGATATTAATAAAATAGACAAATGTCATTGATAAAAAATGACATTTTCCCACACTGAAATGTAGCCTTGACATATTTCAGCTTTTACATTGGGATCACCATTGATCGCATCTGATAAACTAATGAGACAATATCTGTCACTCAAACCTGTGCATGAAGAACACTTATCATAAATCATATAAAAGTATATATATCCTCAGAATTGTTGTAACTTGCATATGCATAAATTGGCCAGGTAATATTGTCCGAGACATTTTTTCCCAACCACAAATACAATGCTTATGTTTTCTTGATTGTTGGACTTGTCGTATTAAAATTGTTACATCTTATACAACTCTCCTATCCTTTGCCTATAAAAGGGGTTGATTCTGGCAGTTTGGAACCCTCTACCCCAAAAGGCAACATCTATTTCAACACTTCTACCATATAGTAAGTAATATTGTAAAATCTTTATTAACTATAGTTCATAAGTGTACACATATACTTAATGGAATCTTTGCTAAAGGGGAAGACACAACCATAGTAGGTCACCCATGCTTTGTAACTGTCTAAAAATTTAAATTTTGACTAGGCTGAAATCACTTACTGAAACATTGTTTCAAAATATGGATTTGTTGTAAAAGTTAATTTTAGAAATGATAAGTTAATTTGTAATAGAAATGAAGTAGTTAAAAACTAGAGAGAGTCATATAAATAAATTTTATTTACTACTCTGATAGAAAATATCCAAATACATTGTGATATGGATAAGCTACGTTTTTTACATATCTTCCAGGAAAAAGATTTAGGATTCTAATTTGTCATTAGATAGCTCTAAACAAAGGGTTAGTAACAACGAAGTGCTTATAAATTGGTCTAGGGATGGATTAGGGTTAGAGTTAGAGTAAAACCACAAAACTGTGGGCGTTTTCAACAACATCCAAGTAAGATGATTACAAAGTCAAAAAATTCAAAATGTGTTAAAATCGTTAAACCTAAAGTTAATCCAAAAGCTCCATCAATATCTGATAACAGTACTAACAATGTATGTGCTGGCTTCTCAGTTATTTACAAAAACACATTTTTGTTATGAAACATTTTTTCCAATTGCTTTCTCTGTTTTCGTTTCAAATCGCATCCAATAAAAAGTATTTCTTCAAGAGTATTCGAAGATCTAAGAAGACCTTGACATATATTGAAAAATCCAAATGTCATCTTTGAATTCCCTGATAAATCGATAATTTTAAATTTAGAGCAATTTTTTAAGAGATTCCCAAGACAAGAACTCTGGTATCCATCCAAATTACAATTTCGCATATAGATTTCTTTTAAACTATCTGCTGATGTGACAAGTCCAGAGCAAATACTTGATACTCCATTACCCATGTTCTCATTTTCAGAAATGTTGATTATTTCAATTTTAGGAAAATTCATGAGCATATGTCCTATATTGATACATTCATTTTCAGCTAAATCACAGCCAAGTAAATGAATTTCCTTTAAGGTGTTTGTTGAATTTAATAGTCCAAGAAATACACATGTTATTCTATTGGCTATTCGTAAATTTCCCGACAAATCTATATTTTCAATTGAATTACAACAATTCAACAAAATTCCAATGTTTTTTGTAGTAGATTTGTCCAAATCACAAAAGCTAAAATTTAATTCTTTTAAACTATTTGAAGAATTGAACAGTCCATGAACAATTTTTGAAATTCCTGTTCCTTTATTTGAATTTTTTGAAATATTAATTTTTTCAATGTTTGAACAATTTGATATTAAATTTTCAATGGCTTCCATATTATTTTCACTTAAATCGCAATTTGAACATTTCAATTCTTTTAGAACAGTTGAAGATTTATAAAGTTGCTGAAATATTTTTGAAAATTTATCATCTCCCAATTTCTTATTACAAGATAAGTCAATACTTTCCACATCAGAATTGGAGTGTATCATTTCAATAGCATAATTAATTTCCTTATCAGTTTTGCATTTTGCAGAAAATTGCAGTTTCCTTCCACCTTTTACAAAACGTTGTATATAATCCATATTTTCCAATGAATAGTTAAGTGAAAAATCATTTAACAATTCAAATTCAATTTTTTTATTTAAAAATTCTTTTAATTCATCACAATTTTTTTTCAAAGTAATATCTTGCTTAAAAAGATCATTTAAAATATTTATTCTTTTATCGCTCACATCTTGAACTTTTTTTTTTAAAGCTGTAAAATTTTTCTCAACTTTTAATATCCATATCTTTTGAAGTTGATCAATTCTATTATAAATAGCTTTGTGATAACTTTTATCTTCATCTATGTATTTTTCTAACAAGTTTTCTTGTGTATTATTTTCACAGTTTAGATGACATTCCTCAAAACATTTTGTACACAAATTTCCAATATTATGTACTTTACAGAATAACGACAATTCTTTTGAATGTTTCGGACATAATTTTACAGTTTTGACATCTTTAAGTATATTTTTTTCCAAGTTACAAATCTGATTTTTCGCCAATTGAGTTTTTTCATTGCAGAGACAAGTGATTTCTGAATTGGATATATTTAATTGTTGCAAACATTCCATACAGAAATTAGAATGATGATGGGTAAGAATTGTTGCATCTCTTTCTAAGCAAAGTTTAGAACAAAGAGTGCAAGAAAGTGATTTTTCATTCAGCATAAAACCATTAACAGCCATATTTTCTAGGGAATAAATTCTAAAGATTTAATTTATTACCATGACATTCTATATGTAAATATAAATACTATTGATAGATTAATCCAATCAATCACTTTTTAAAGAATGTTTAAATCGTTTCCTTCGATTAAAACATTAATTATAATTTCTGTACATTCTACAAGAAACGAATGTTGTTCTAAACTGATTGCAGAGTCCAGTGTCCTTATTGACGGTGTCCATATTGGTACATAAATATGGCACACACAGTTAACAGGATTAGAATGGATAATATAGTTTCTGCCATTTTACAATTTTCAATGTTTCTACTCGTAAAATCCAGGGTATCTATTATTACTCTGGCAGTGTGTGGGGTGCGTTATCCTGCTGCCAGATGAAGTTTTCTCCAAATTTTCCACTCAATATTAGGAAAACTGTTCCCACCAACTGGAAGCTTATCCCTACATAGCCTTAGCCTGTCATTGAGCTGCCAGGTTAACAGGTGATTGGGACCATCCAGCAAAAACCTGGACTCATCAGTGTTTAAATTTTCATCTGTTATAGGTCTAGTTAGGCAATATCATGAATGAGTTGAGATTGCAAAAATTGAACATTGTCAATTTATTTCTCTGTAAATCTACACCAGGTGGCTCTTGATAATACACACATATGAGTGTGCGTTAGCATTTGTGCGGGCTTGCCTCTTAAACTATACATTTTACATCGATAACACATACCTATCCTTTTTCTTTTTTAATCAACGTCAGTCTCTCTGCTACTGATTGTTACTTCTATCTGCTCTTTGGAAATGTAGCCCTATTGTCTAAAATTTTAATTAATTTGGCTAAAACCTGATTCTCTGTCTTTATTTGATGTTGTTATATCCTCCTAACCTCTAGATGCAATTCTCCCAATTACAAACCAATGCCTGTCTACTCTTTCTAGCTATCTACCTCAGAAGTAACATCTACTTCAACACTTCTACCATATAGTAAGTATTATTTATAAAATATCTATAAATTATAGTTCATAAATGTACAAAACCAAAATCAACATTTAAAATAACTTTCACTAGAAAAAGATTTTTCAAAAAATCTATCAATTCAAAAAGAAATGCCTTTGTTAATATAGAAATATGACTCATTTTCCACAGAAGGCCTATTTTCATAGAGATGTACCTACACATTGACTCTAGTGACATTTTTTCTAAAAATTCTTTCCCTTCTGCTGTGTATTTCTGAAGGAGTTCACCCTTAAATCATTTCAGTACTGATTAAGGTCATAGCAGATCCATTTAGCACAAATCTTTCCCTATCTAAGTTCTTTTGTCATTTATCCAATAGCTACATAACAAATTTTTTGAAGATTGCTCTCTGTAAAATAGTCTGATCTCCACTGTGGGGGCTATTTATTTCTTCTCAGTTTTGAAATTTTACAACTGTCTTTGGACAACCACATCTTGCAAATCATCAAAATTTTTTCTTTCTTTTTATAACATATACCTACCTTCTTATGAAACATTCACTCAAAATGTCATCCAAAAATAGCTTTTTGATCATCTGTAAAAGAACTTAGAAAAACTTTCTCAATCACTAAAAAAGCAATGAATTTTCAACTGTGTTTACACAATAAAAGTTTTTTTATTTACTAAGAGTATTGGAGAGTATCAATGACATTAGTTGAGTTGTTTCAATAAGAAAAGCACAAAGTTTGAAATAATTTGACCCAACCTTATATCTAACAAATATTGTTCATATTTTGTCCACTAAATATTATATCCAACAGAAGTTATTTGGAAGTAGCATTTGTACAGCATTCATGTAACATTACAATTTTTACATTCAGACACATCTGTCACTACTTACAAACTGGGCATCATAGGCATCTTTCAAAATATCTAAAAAATTTGTTCACTATAACCCTACTTTCAAAAATTAGAAAAGAAAATGACAAGAAGAATTTTAGTGTAGCAAAGACTTTACATGTGGTAGAAAATTTTGATAAGTTAATAATTTTACCTTAACCTTAACCTAATCATATTTTTTTACCTAACCTATTTGAATAAACTTAACCTTTGATAGAACCCAACCTAGTATTTATCAATAGTTTTAATATTTTTCTTAGACATTTTCCCATGCTGAAATCTAGCCTTGAAATATTTCACATATGCCTGTCTTTATCAACAAAAACTATTTCAAAAATATCCAAGTAAATAATATTTTACAGTTGAATGAAAAGTTTTTTAAATGTGTCTAAAGAGATACAACACAACTAGCCCACTACCATAGATCCTATATTAACCTTAACAATCTGATCTGTTAATTCAAAAGATCTCCATAGACCTATAGAAATGTATTTGAAAATATTCTTAACCTCTTTAAAAATACCAATGAAAGAGTTTAAGTAGATGTTTTTGAAAAATTGTCACAAGACCTTTTGATGAGAAAACACCTATAAGAGAAAACACTTATAAGCAGGCACAATGGTAGCAGAGGTGTTAATAGAAATCATGAAGAGTTGTACAATATGTACTGTTTTTCTTCTTTTGAATTTAGATTGTATGATATTTAGATTTGTCTCAAATAAATTTTTATTATATTTTAATCAACAGTTTTTGTGGTTCATTCACAACAATTTTCTGTATCTGTTGAAGTTCCAGCTATAATGTTGGAAGGTTTTGGACAATATCATGTAAATTTTAAACAACAGACTGGAAATCCTACATGCAGGTTTTTTTTGTACATTAATATTTGAATGAATAATTTTACAAATTTAATTTGTTTTAAAGCTTTACAGCTAAAAAACCAGATGAAACTGTGGTAGCACAAGCTACCAAAGATTTAAATTCTATGTTTGAAAGCCACACCATTCAATATTTTACTTTATCATCATTCACTGAAGATTTTATCCTAACTTTTTCTTTCACTTGTGGTACTTCAGGGTCATCAATTAGTTTTGAATTCAGGACACATGTTTTTGCAGTTGAGACTATGTAATACTTTAAACAATATTCAAAATATATATAAAAAAATTTAAATATTTCATTTGCTTATGGTTCTACTTTTCTACCTGTGATGTATGGGGTTCAAATTGATGTATCAAGTGCGCAATCCTAACCAACTATAGTTAAATTACTTAGACAACTTGGTGACGCTATTTGCAGGTAATTACTTCGGTGAAATTAAATCATTCATCATCATCTATATGATTATTTTTCGTTATCTCAGCTTAACTCAACCAGACTCTGCCATAGCCATAACAGATTATTCTGGATCAACTGATCTAAGAAATGATAACATGGAAATTACAGTTACTAAAACTGGTTCTCAGGAATCTCTTCTCATGCTTGCAAGCTGCTCATCTGGTGGAAAGACATTCAATACTGACATTCCAGTTTATTTTTCAGTTGGTGCTCCTTCACCATGGGCATCTGCAACAGGAGATCCACACTTTGCTCAAAATGTTATTGATAAATCATCAATGTCTACAAAACAAATATGTTATGATGTAACTGGCCAAATGGGAGATTTTATTTATATTGCTGGATTCTATCACAGTGGAATAAAAGTATTTGGCCAACTTAAAGATGATTAATACATGCATAAAATTATCATTCAGTCTCCATCAGCAAACATCACAGTATCATTAAATGAAATTCTTCTTGATAATATATATACAATGGAATGGAATGATAATTCAAAGGCAATGGCTGTTGTACACATACATTCGTCAGCTATATTCTACAATAGAGAAGTAGTATTGAACCAGTATTGTACTATGCAGATAGTATTGTATACACAATACTGTTTGTCTTAACATGCATTAATCAGATATACTTCCTCCTTATATGCTGATGCTAAATTTACTAACTCAATCAATTGAATATCATTATTAAGGTAGAATATAAAAATAGTCAAATATACAATCTACATGTTTTCTTGATTGTTGGACTTGTCCTACTAAAATTGTTATGTCTTATGCAACTCTCCAACCTGAGAAATTCAACTATTATTTAGAAGAGGAAAACAATAAAAACATGACCATATTTACAACTTTTCTTTGTCTTCAAATGTTACTTTTGTTTTTGTGAACATTGAAATTTGTCAACTATCAACCCTTAAAAGAGTATATAAACCCTACAAAATTAACAGTTGACAGTTCACTTTTCTAACTGTCAGCTAGTTGTTTAATCTAGCTGGTTTAGAACTAGAAGCTCATTTTACTCAATACATATTCTTTGGACAAAATACTGGTGTTTTGTTGATTAATTTCTACCAAAATTGCCTTTGTTAGACTATTTGTGGACGAACTTTAAAGGTTCTATTTGTGTGAGTACTTTGGCAAGTTGGTAAATGATTGGAAAGGATGATTACAGTTGTGACGAACCAGAAATTCCTACAATTACAATACAACAAAGTACAAATTTAATAGGTTTTATAGCTGTGCAATGTATAGGCACTGCCCTCTGCGAAACTAGGTGAATACTGCTTATCTCTATCAGTGCTATCTGCATAGTACAATACTGGTTAAATACTACTTATCTATTATAGAGTATAGCTGACAAATGTATGTGTACAACTACACTAATCATTTCAGATTATCAATAAGAATTTACAGATGTAATTTCTTTTTTTAAATCGATACATCATTTAAAAGTACTCAATGTCAGTGGAACAGATATTTATGATATCCATTTTAGAATAATGTCAGAAAATCTTGTCTTATTAGAAGAATTAAATATATCATCAAGAAGTATTAAGAAATTAAGGCCTATTCTCATGTTGAGTAATAAAAAATTGTTCAAAGAGATGTCAGATATTGCTATTCAGTATGATGAATTTCAATATCTACTACATTTGGAATATCTAGAAATAGTTGAAATGTCTTTATGTGATTACAATATAGTATTTTATCAATGAATGAAAATGTAACAATTTGAGCATAACTCTACCAAATGCCTGCATACATTGGTGAGTGTAGTGCATGATAAGAACCTAGATGTGTACGATTTAAAAATTGAAAATCACCAAAATTTTGCATGAAATACTATATTGTAATAGTATTGAGCAGTGCTCTGCATACCCAAGATACAACTTTTAACTACTTCTAAAGTTAGTTGTAAATAGACTTTTACAACTTAACTTGAATATTTAACTAATTATCTTAAACATAATATATAATCAATATTAGTTGTTTTTATCATATTTTACCTATATTTGGAAATTGTAGATTGTTGAATAGTAGCAAATACGCAATACTATTATAGATAACCAAATGCTTTGGTTTTTGCCATAAAATCTATTTTACACTACAATATCTCATTTTTGTGGTATATAAGAACAGCATTATGCTGATCTTTGTCTATTTTTGTGTGTTGGACACCATCCAAGTTCTACCAAAAATTGTTACATCTTATGCAATTTTTGACCTACTCAAAATATAGAACAACAACTCTCCAGAATAAAGAAAAAGTACCAATTATGGTGGCATATTTGGACTTTTCCTATATCTTATATGTTACTTTTGTTTGTCTGTATATTTGTGATCTGTGAACTGTCAACTATTGGAAAGGTATATAAACCCTGCAAATTTAACAGTAGACAGTTCAGTCTTATCACTGTCAGCTTGTTGCTTAAACCAGCTTGTTTAGAACTAGAAACTTATTTACTCAATAAATATTCTTTGAATGAAATACTGATGTCTTATTGATTAAATTTTTGCAAAATTTCATTTTTTGAGACTATCTTTGGACAAACTTGAATGGTTCTATTTGTTTGACTACTATGGTAAATTGGTAAATGATTGGAAAGGGCAAATTTGATCTTGATGAATTCAATTACAATTCAACAAAGTACATTTAGAAAATTATTATTATTTTTTAAGGGTATTTAACACTTTTGTCTCTTTTGTAGCATCTTCCGTAAAATCATTCCTAAAGTATATATATCCTTCTTTTCTCCACAATTCTCCTTAATATACAACTCCTTTACAGATAAATATATCTTGAAATTATTGGGCTGAAAAGGATGATAATGTAAAATTTAATCTACTAATTTTCCATAGATTTTAAATACTCAACTTGGACAACAATATCCGTTATTGAAAATTGTCCATTTAGACAAAAGTTATGTCTATGAATTGAGGAAATTGAATGTAAAATTGTTGAAAAACATTTAAAATATTTATAATCTCTATAAAATTCATATGTTATATGAATTCCAGAAAATTTGTTTGTCCTGAATAAAATTAGATGATAGTTTTCTTGATTTTTTAGGAAACTTAAAACTAGAAGAGAGGAAAACAAATATATTTAAATAATGATTGAAAATGTTAATTCTTTTTTTTTATTTTACAATTCTGAAACCATTCATGTCTTGCATTTTTCAATAAATTCATCCTTTTCAAACAAAACAAAATATTTTACTTAATAAGTAGAATGAAGACATGTAATTGAACAATTAACCTCTTTCTAGCAGATTTGACCTTAACTTCTGTAATGGTATTTGTTATCTCTTGAAAAGACAAGATATAGGGATTTATAATTGAACTTAGAGGTAAAATTGTAACCATTATCCATTCAAATTCATAAATTTCCACTGGAACTTTTGAAAATAGAATTAAAAATCCTAAATAACAAATAATTAATCATTTTCTATAAAGTTTTTTTATATGTGTTTTTTTTGACACCTAAAAGAGAGACAGTTGTCCAAGTTAACATATGACTAACAGTGAAAATAACAACATTCATGTTAACACTTCTTTGATTAGACAACTTTCGAAATTTTTTAAATGACCCCTTTATTATACTGATAAATTCACAAGTTAAATAAAACATAAAGATGCTTAACAAAGGCAAAATGATGCAAAATATGATAAATTGATAAATAAAATATACAGTTGAATTTTCCAAGTTGAGTATTGAGAAACATTTTCTGTCATTTTCCTGACAAAAAAACTCTTGAATATAAACAAAAATGTACCAAAAAAGTATTAGAAACTAATTACTTTGTGAAAAAAAAATGCAATCATTGATAAAACCAGACAGAATATGAATGAAATTGCAATAAATATGCATTTAAATATCCAAGATTTATGCTTCTCCATTGGGTACTTTACCACTCTATTTCTTTCTACTGTTATGAATAGAATACCAGTAGAGGATAAGAGTAGGGAAGAGAAGAGTGTGATTTGCAAAACTTGACAGAAAACACTTTTGACCCAGGTGATATCATTTTCTAAGTATGAATTTCCATAATAGAGGTCAACAATGGAGATTGATATCATATAGAAAGATATGCACAAGTCAGAAAAACTTAGTAGTTGTTTAAAATGTTTGGAGGAACTTTTTGCCCTTAAAAGTAAAATTGTTGAAAGAATATTCCCTAAACAACCAAACACTCCATTAAGCCAATAAAAAACTATTTTACTTTTTGAATGAATAAGCCTTGTACATTGTGGATAGTTGAGTAGTTTGCCTGCTGAACAATTGACATTTTTACCAAGGTATTTTATAGAAAGACAGCAAATTTTTGAATTGCTTGTATAGATTTTAGGCACTTTAACCATATCTATAAAAACTCTTGCAATTTCAAAATGAGAGATAATTGTATAAGGAATAATTAATTTTTTTATTTCAAGTAAATAGGTAAAACTTCCATCTTCTATTGAGTGAATAAAACAACCTTTTATAATGAATATTTGTAATTGTCTTATCAGATTAAGGTGTAATTTTGATAGTATTGTTATATTTGTATATGATATATCCAAATAATTCAAATGGCTACATTTTAAATGATATAGAAATGATAAAGATTGAATTGGATTATAGGAAATTATCAATTTTTGAAGTAGTTTTAATTTTTTTCTTAGAATTATATTATCATTTTCACCTACTAATCCATTTTCAGTTAATGACAAACTTACTACATTTGGAATAGTAATATTCAAATTTTTAGTCAGGAATCTGTTACTTTTTCTGATAATTAAGATTGTTAAATGAGTAAAAGTTGTATGAAAAAGTTTGTTTTTTTTGGCAAATTCCCAGTAATATTTAATTTTCTTATACTTTCTATATGTTTAAATTTTAAACTGTTATTGTTTGGCTGTTGTTTCTCAACTATTACATTATCCACAAATGCTTTGAAGTGACAATTGAATGAAAATGTGGAAATTTCAATACAACCAGGAAAATTTATTATTGGAATTTTACATAAAAGCTCATCACTTCCATCAAGACATTCAACAATTCCATTGCATATTTGATACATAGTCAAAAAACGTCTTTGACTTGAACACATAAAAAATCCTTTGGGTAAAAATTTCCTAAAAGTAAATGTAATTAGATCTATATAATATGTTGCTCTTTTTTCTTTTCTGTTTACCACAATCAACTTCATCATCACCTTGAGGACATTGGTTAAATCCATCACAAATAAGATCAAGAGAAATGCAATAAGCTTCTCTATAGCAAAGGTATTGGCCATAAGAACAAGATTTTTTAGAACAGGATTCTGAGAAATTTGGCTTTAATTCACTTAATACATATCCTAAGGATTATGTTGTAACAAAACATTTTGCTATTTTCCTATAAGGTGTATTTGACAATAATTTATTGCATTGCAGAATTTCATATTGAAAATTTATATAAGGAACACAAAATGCAAAGCATTCTTTTTGAATATCATTTCGACAGGCTAAATCTTAAATGAAAAAAAAGGCATTGTAAAAAATTCATTTCTAATTTTTTTTTAAAACCATATTTATATTCTTTTAAAATTGAATTTGAGTTAAAGCATAACTCATCACTTTTATCAAAACAGTCAACTTCATTATTGCAAACTTTGTCTTTATTAATGCATTGTCCATTTTTGCATTGTCTAAAAGAGATAAATTATCAGATACCATTCAATAAGTAATTAAATCACTGTACACTTCATTTTCAGAACATTTGGGGAAAGCTGAGAAAGAATTTTTTCTATGGATTATAAGCCTTAGATTATAGGAAGAGAACAGAGAGACAGAGAGAGAGAGACAAAAATTCTTTGTTGGTTTCATCACATAATACTTGAAAGGTGAGATCATTCTTCACTTTTAATCTAACTAACACACCCACATCTTACTATGAGATGAAACAACTAAAAGACTGAAATCTTCTTAAACAGTCTGTCAGGGAATATGACTATCAACAAACCACAATATTCTTCATCTGAACCATCAGGACAATCTATCCAAAAGTTACAAACACTTAAATAACTAATAAATTTGTTTCCTGAATGGCATTTGAATATGTGTGTTAATTCAGTATGGCAATATTTTGAATATTCCTTATTTGTTCTACAATCAATGAGATTTTTGCACAAATGAATCTTATTCAAGAAAATATTAAAGTTTTCACATTTTACAAAATTTTCAGGAAATTTTACATTCTCATTGTGTATAAATAATCTTTCTTGAAGTGTCTGTATGGCTGAAATCAATTAAAGAGTTTCATTTGCCCAAAAATTAAGAGCTAAACATGCTTTTACTTACTTAAAATTTTTTGACAAGCAAACATTTTGAGAAGAGAAGTTTTACAAGATCTTTTCAGGGAGATTTTAACATTATCTTGTGTAACCTTCTGTAAAGTCTCAAAACATTCTTATTGATATTTTCTAGATTTAATTCTAATTACCAAGAAATAGCACTGATCTTCTACACTGTAAGATATTTTCTTGCCAATAAACTGATATTCTCTCAATTGTAATAACTAGATACAGATAGACGTAAGTGTCAACATGTGAAGGAAAAGTTATAACCTCTGATTCCAGATAGTGGTTTATAACTGGCAAATTTAAATCAAAATTTGTAGATGTTGTAAAAGTTCTTGAATTTACTCTAATATTCTCTTTAGAGTTGACTTCTGTAGGTAAAAAAACACTAATGTCTTTTTGAATTTTTTTCAATGCGGTGACTGTTGAAAACACTCTTTTATAGATTCTCTGTGCTCTCAAAAGCCTCCCATATATTATCTGACATACTCATGAAATGTCTATACATTTTAGAGTCAAGTACTTTTGACAAATATGCATTATATGCAATATCAAGCATGTGTAAAACAAAATACTTTTGATAGCTTTGATAATCAGGTGATGTCATATTTCTTTTATAGCAAAATTTATCAATTTCCAAAATATCCATTGCATGTTTTGGCCTGAAAATGGTGTAGCAAGTATCCAAGATAATTACTGTATTTTTGCCATAACATTTTTCACTTGAACGATTTGAACATTCAATTCTTAAAGCCTTTGATGAATATCTATAATTTTTATTAAATGTGTAAATGCTCTTAAAATATTTCAGAATTTTTCTATATCTTTGTAAAATGCTAATAATTTCCAAACTAAAACAATTTGTTCAACAAACTCAAAGTAAAATGAAAAGTTTAATTGTAATGCTGTCCCAATTTAACATTATATCCCAATAATGTATGCCTATTGCAAAACACCACAGCTAAGAGTTTGACTAATGCAGATGATGCAACAACCCCCCTCTATTTCATCTGTAGAAATAAGGTTACTGCATGTATCCACTCTTTACTTTCCTCTCTGGTGTACTATATGAAATCAATGAAGCAGAAATTTTATGAAACTTTAATTTGCAGTCAATCTCTGATTAAAGAATAATCATTCAAATAGGTTCATAGATTTCTGGATACTCTAGACTACTCTAGAGTTCATATGTTTAACAATATACACATCTAGTTCGTTACTGTGCACTAAATGCTACACTCACCAACATTCACACACATTTGGTAGCATAAGCTCAAATTGTTACATTTTCATTAACTGATGAAATACTATATTATAATAGTATCGAGCAGTGCTCTGCATATGCAACATATACCTAATACTATTCTTTTAACTACTTCTAAAGTTAGTAAAATACACTTTTACAACTTAACTTGAATATTCACATTAAGGAATATACACATAACATTTATTTATCATTAGTTGTATGTTACACTAATTGACATATGTTTGGAAATTGTAGATTATTGAAGAGTTTGTATGCACAATACTATTTTAAATAACCAAATGCATGGTTTTTAACCAGTTAACTATTTTACACTAATATATCTTATTTTTCACAAACAAATGTTAATAATAATTTGTGGTACATAAGAGCATTATTCTGACCTTTGTCTATTTTTGTGTGTTGGACACCATCCAAGTTCTACTAAAAATTGTTACATCTTGTGCAATTTTTGATCTACTCAAAATATGGAACAACAACTCTCCAGAATAGAAAAAACATAGCAATTAAGTAAGCATATTTGGACTTTTCCTTTATCTTAAATGTTACTTTTGTTTGTCTGTATATTTGTGATCTGAACTGTCAACTATTGGAAAGGTATATAAACCCTGCAAATTTAACAGTGGACAGTTCAGTCTTATAACTGTCAGCTTGTTGCTTAAACCAGCTTGTTTAGAACTAGAAACTTATTTACTCAATAAATATTCTTCAAATGAAATACTAATGTCTTATTGATTAAATTTTTGCAAAATTTCATTTTTTGAGACTATCTTTGGACAAACTTGAATGGTTCTATTTGTTTAACTACTATGGTAAATTGGTAAATGATTGGAAAGGACAAAATTGATCCTTATGACCTAGAAGTTCCTACAATTACAATACAACAAAGTACAAACAGACAGTCTGAATAACAGGCTTACTCAATCAGACAGATAAATTATGAAATTATTTAATAGCCAATGTGCACTAAGAAACTATAGAATAATAATTGTTGTGTATTTATAAGCATTTAAACAAGTAATCAGCTGTTCAAGACACAGTGAATGAGAAAAGTACAGCCATGCTATAAGAGCTAATAAACAGTACTCCAGCTCAGTAAATCTGTGCTTTGTTAACTATGGCATTTTGATTAAAACATGTCAAAAAAGCTTGTATTGCATTGTATTGCATTGAAGTTTTTTAACTACTAACTGTAGCTGGCATTCTCTGTCATAATAGAAGTAATAGTTTTTTACCTAATATAGTTTCTCTTTCCGACTTGGCAAAGTGTAAAGCTTGTTGAATTTTTTGGACAATGGAATGTTTCAAAATAATATTTTTTGGAAACTCTGAAGCTTGAATAACTGTTAATAAAGTAGTTGGAATAAACAATTGTCCCATAGTTCAAGCCAAAAAATGAACAGATCTTGATAACATCCTCATAAAGCAGAAAATGAAAATAGAACCAAAGTCTATTTATTAATATTTGAAAATATCCAGAAAATTTTAAAAAATTGTGTTGAAATTGTTCTACAGGATACAAAAAAATGTTTTCCTCTGAAAATAGTCTAAGTGCTTTAAGAAATTTAATGAATTTTAATATAGTGTAAAAAATGTCAAACAAATTTATACTGTGGTTTTTTAATGGTAAAATACACTTTGGTGATAGGCTATATATTGAACTATGTGTCTGGATTCCACATATTTCACTTTCATGATCACTCAAAAAACATACTGAAAATGATAGAATCTTCATTTTGGCAACAGGAGTTGAGCAGATTTGTTCATGATATTCCAATGAAATCTGTTTACAAATATATTCACAGATAGCATTGTTCTGCTGCTGATCAACAATAGGAAATAGGGAGCCATAAGTTTTTGATTCAAAAAAGATTTCACTGTGAATATTTTCTTCCAAATTCAACTCATAGGAGAGATTTCTCCCCTTTTCCAGGAATTTTACTTGAAGATCTAAATAAAAAAACAAGAGGGGGAAATATTTAATATTTTTTGGTGTAAAGTTGTCTTCAGAAAGGTAAACCTTGAATTTCTAAATATGAACAGTAAATTTCATTGAAGGAAGCATAATTGTTATTTTGTGAAGTGTTGAAAAAAACTCTCCTAAAAGTTTTTAGTAACTTGTATGAATTTGGTAAGGAGAATTGGCATCTTGGGCAGAGACTTTTATTCTTTTCAGAATTTCCATAAATTTCAAATATTGAACCATTTTCTTTCAAGTACAATTTGTGTTTGTTCAATAGGTTGTCATGGGAAAATATATCTGTATAATTTGTAATAGACAAACATTTATAAATTTTTTCTGATTAGTTAGTCAGGATACAACAGAAACTTGTCTAAAAGACAATTCTTTCTGTTGATACTAAAAATAATAAGCTGTACAAACAAGAGGAATTTTTGTGAAAGCACTTAAGTAGAATACCCTCAGTACTATTTAAATTTCTTCCTACTCTTGAAAAAACATAAACTCAAAAAATGAATGGATTGTTTTATCAAGTTTTGAAGAATATAAATCTTACATTAATTGTAAAGTATAACTTTGAAAAGTTGCTGCTAAACTTTCAAATTGTATAGCAATATATTTTGAAAGAGAATGAATGTAATCAAATCCCATGATTCCACATATCTTATTACTCAGCCATTGGGGAATAACAGAAAATTCTAATGACCGAATAAATCTTTCATTATCCATTTGAATTTGAAGAATACCAGTAGAAAATTCTCTTGTTTTATTTATAGTACTAAGCTTAAATTTTACATTTTGAATATTGTAGAATCTTTTGGTAGCTGAATGAATAAGAAAAAGGGCATGAAGCAATTCAAAGCATTTTCAATTTTCTTTCTCTTACTATTTTTCACATTTGGCATACAATTTGTATCAATAATTTGTGCAGACTTGTGTGACATTGTATTGTTATAATAGCAATCAACAATGCTGTATAGCACTCTACGACAGCCAGCAATTATTGGTTGGCTCTGAAAACAGATAGATAGATAGTTAGATATGTTTGAATTTGAAACTTGAGTATTAGCTATTTTTACCATATAGGTTAGAGAACTTTTACAAAATTTAACTCCAACAGTGTTAAACAATGTTAGACATATAAATAGGCAGGCATCTTCTTTTTTCACTTTTGTATCAAAGAGTAAATTGTGCTTTGCAAAGGACTTTGTTTCATATGAGAAATGATGAATATTGTGCCTAACATTTGATTGAAATATCTCCATATCTATGATTACAGATAAAGATAAAAGAAATTGTAAGATTATTATCCTGTGAAAAGACAAACCACTCAATTCTTCATATGAGCAAGTCATTGTATTCATATTCAAGGATTTTGAAATCTTTTCTATTGTACCATTCTTATTAAGGAATATAATGAATTTTTTATCAGTAAAAAGTTTATTGAAAGAACTCTTAAATTGATGGAAGGAGAAAAGAGTTTGTTTACATAATCTTTTCCTTGTCTCATTGTCACCATTTCCTAATTCATAGATAATATTATTCAATTTAAGATTTAGGTTATAGGTTCTGATTTCGCTTTTAACTCCAAATACATCTATTTTTGATAAAGAAGAAAAAAGTATAGCAATCTAATCAAAAGATTATATGTGACAGTGTGAGTGGAGTAAACAGAAAATGTCCTCAAATGACTTTTTTCAGGGTTAAAATTTGGATTGGAATATGATTAGAGTGAATAAGACAGCTATTGATCTGTACTTAAGGGGGGAGGGGGTACCATCTAAGGGTAAGGAGTAATGAACATGGTTAGGAAGTGACCAGGGCTGGGTTAGGGTCAGGGTAAAATCATACATTTGAGGACATTTTCTGTGTGAGTTTGTGTTCATGCATGTGTATGTGTGGAAGTGATTGAATTGGTGTCAGGAGAAAATCTCCCCTCAACTAAAGATATTAATTGAAATATTTATGAAAGTGAATAGTATTATTAAATTAATTTTGAAAATAATTTTGAAAAATTGTTTTAAAAATAAAGAAAATAGTGGATGAAAATGACTGAAATGTATTGAGGAAGGCAAACAAATTAGATACCAGTTTGGAAATTATTTTCACTAACCTGATTCCAACATCATCCTCAGCTGAATTTATATATAATACTATTCATTTTAATAAACTTTTTATTAATATGTTAGGTTTTCTGGGGAGATTTTCTCCATAGTTTGATTAGATTTACCAACATGTAATGTTCTTCTTGAAACATTTTACTTCTGTTTTAAAGCAACCTATATGGGCTGACTTTTTGAATTTCAACTTCTTTTTATTTATATAAAATGTAAAACATTTAAAATTGCTCATGAATTCTCCAACTCTTGTAAAGGTGTGAAAGCTATCATAGCCAAGTATATCACACAAACCTATTTTTGAATATTCAATATAGGCTTCATGACGAATAATAGTATTATTGTAAGTTAAATATCCTTTAACATAGCTATTGGATTCAAACTCAATTTTGATCTTAATGGATATTATCAATATCAACGTGGAAAGAATTATTATTACTCCAATTAATCTCCTTTCACAATTAACCATATTTTTCAAGTTATTCGAAAATGTTTAAATTACCCAGTTAAAGGCATTCCCTTTATTTCTCAGTTTAATTTAAATACTTTGTTCAATAAGTAAACTTTTAATAAGATATATTTTCTTGTATTTCTTTAATAAGAAATGTTTTCTTGTATTTCTTTAATAAAAAATATTATCTCATATTTCTTTAATAAGAGTTACAGTTTTTTAATTTAATTTTGATAAAATCAAAATTACGATAAAATAGTTTTTAAACTAAGTTACCACATTTCAAGAGAGCTAAGTTAAAACTTAGGTTAGTTTAGGCTCCAAAAATAAATTTTCAATAAAATTAGTTGAAAACTTTTTTTTGGAGAATTCTTTTGTTAAAAAAAAATAACTTTTCTCTGACTGCTATCTAAGTGTTAACTTGGGTCTCTTGAATTTTTTTTTTTGTATTTGATTTCCTATTTATATAATACCTGGGACTCTTCAGAGTCAGTTACTGAAATGTGTTAAAGAGGTTTGAGAAACTTGTAAAGACAAGTATACTCTCTGAATATTTATTATTATTTTATAATATCATGGTATGCTTTGATATAGATTTTTGTACTAAAAAGAAAAAATTGTTCTACCAAACTTATGTTTGATAAAACAATCTTCCAAGTATTCCAAGTTGGTAGTTATTTTATCCTGACTTGGGTGCCCATAAGCCTTAGGTCTTCGGGTTAGGGTTAGCTTATGTATTGTTGTAAATTCTTCAACCACAGTTGTTCTAGCCATTTGTAGTTTGGTCCTTTGTTTTCATTGTACACCAGGAGATTGCCTTTTTTAATAAGCTTCTATCCATTTAAAGTTGTCTTTGATAATAACATTATTCTACATTGTATCTCACTTAACATAAGTGTTTGTTTCTCAACTCTATGTTTCTTTGCTCCAAAGAAGTAGTGAGTGCCAAAGTTGATTCTTCTCTTTACCAAACACTTAAACACTTATATTGCTAATTTATCAGCTTTAATTTCATAGATATTTGCCATTATTTTAGTCATTTGTTTTGTTTCAAATGTGCAAACTGGTTCATTAGCCAAATCAAATGATTGGTATACCTGTTGTCCTTGACAGAATTGTACTGAAGGAAGCATTCTGACAGTGATGTTTGCTTTCGTTATTGATACATTTCCATTTTGTTCTTTATAGAAATTTATCTCAACAGGTTTATTTTTTAATTTCATAACCTGTAATCTGTTTTCATTTCTGTCTTCATCATCATCATCTAAATTGTCATCCAGACAATCATCTAATTCTTCTAGGTCTTCATTGTCAATGTCAAAGCATTTAAGCATATCTTTTCTCTCAGCTAATTTGGGAGCTGTATTGCCATTCTGTTTTTCTCCATTTACTCTGTCTCTGAGTAAATTTCTAAAATCAATTACTTTATCAGTCTCTCCATTTCTTGATACCCAATCTGCTCAGTTAGATTATTTCAAAATCCACATCTATAAGGGCCATAACCCATTTTATAGTACTTGAATTTAGTTTGCTTTTTACATAAGTTTGTACTAGATTTTGATGATCAGTGTAGAGAAAAAATTTCGGTATTTCTGTACCCATACTGAGTGAAGGGTAAAGGACAGTTGACCCCTGGACAGTTGACCCCCATCCAGACAGTTGACCCCCGGACAGTTGACCCCCTTCCAGAAAGAATTTGGAAATTTCTCTTAATACATCATCAGCTGTTTTATTGGCATTTGCAAATTCTTCCCAAACTAAACATATTTTACCTTGCAATTCCATGTATTTCACTTTCTGTATCCTACATATCTTTTTCTCTGACAACAACCTTTGATTCATGATTTAACTTCAAAATTAAATTGTAAAAATTAATGCTTTGTCCACAGTGACTGTTTAGTCTATGATGCCAGGATTCTACATCAATGTTGGTTCTGATGGTCACTTGGTAGATTGACCAATTATTTATTTTCCAAATATTATTTCTAATAAAAATTCTTTCAAAATAATCCAAAAAATCCAGAAATAAATTTTTCTCAACAAGTTCTCCTTTAATAGTTTTGAATTGTCTTTTAATGATGTTAGCAGGTAAGAATGGTAAAGACATTATTTTTCAAAGCATTTCACCTCCATAATTTTTTTCTTTATAATCTTTTACATATCCAAGATGCTTCAATAAATAAAAAACTTTTGTAATTCTCAAATGACTATTTATACAATGAATACTTGTATTTTCTCAAAAACTGCATTTTTAAAATGATAAACACATCCTTGAATTGTTGTTGTTGGAAACATTTCTTCAATGGCCTTCCATAAGGCTGCCTCAAAGTCAACTACTATTTTTTTTGATTGATGACCATCTAAAACATCAGCTAACACCTGATATATATGTAGTGTAATTCATGAAAATGTGATATATATATATTTACCTTGAAAACAGCTTTATAAGATTTTTTCTTTCTTTGGCTCATAAAAGCATAAACTAGAGGAACTTGCTTATAATTTCCATTTTTCTTTATGAAAGCATGAACTGTGAAAAGCTGTTGAAATGGTTCTGAAATCACTTTGAAGGTTCCATCCATAAATTATATTTTTGCTTGTTTCAACAATTCGATTTGATGATTATTACCAAAAATGATATATCTTGCATCATCCTTTTTAATATCCTTTATTAAAAAATTTTCAGGAACAAAATCATTGTTCAAAGTAAATGAAAGATCAGCTGGATTGCTAGGTCTCAATTTTCCTTTGTATCTGTCTGCTGTTCTTCTCATGCTTTCAATAAGTGGAAGTTTCTTACTTTGATGTAAACATTTCAAAAGAGTAATCTCTGCAATTTTTTTTCCTGAGTTATTGAAATTTTGTTGAATCTCTGCTTTTACAACTTTTCTCATTTGTGCTTCAACTTCATTGGCACTTGTTTTTGGATGTGAATGTTGCCCTTTTTCTAAAAAATGTGATCCTTTTTGTAGAACAATGGCTGGACCCTAACCCTGGACTTTCCTGTTCTTTTACTACAGCACCAAGTTGTTTGTCTGTCAGATTTCTTCTTCACTGCAAAAGTAAAGCCATTTTTTGTCAATAGATCTTTGCCTCTTCTTGATCCTTCTTTGATAATTTCAAAGCCTTGCTTTTCTGACTGTTTTGTTGATTGACTGGGTGTCACCTCAAAAGAACTTTCATCAGAAACATTGATAGAATTTGTGAGATTCTTTGGCTCATATTTGTCATCAGATGATTCTTCAGCATCTATCGAACTTTCATGTGAAAAATCAAATGAAAGCTCAAGCTAAAGGTTAAATTTCAAATTTTAAACAATAATAAATTAAATGTCATTCTGAAACACTAACCTCTTGATTATCAAATTGTTGTTTATTTGAACAGGTGTCAGTTGAATTTTCAATTTCAGAGGATTCTATATCAGTTATTTCATTTTGTTCAAAGTCCATTGGAGTTCTTATTTGAAGTTCATTACCATTTTCCAGTTCATTGCCATTTGCCAGTTCATTGCTATTTTCCAGTTCATTGCCATTTTCCAGTTCATTACCATTTTCTAGCTTCTTTTTATTTTTCAATTCAGATTGAACTTGTATCTTTTCTACTACAAGCTGATTGGCATTTTGTACCATAAAGTGCTTGGACATTTGAGCTAACTGAATCTGGCATGTTGTTGTTTTTATGTTTTTGCAAATATTGCAATAGTGTTGGCCTTTATTTTAGAAACTGAGTTATATGAATTAGTGGATACAATAATACAGACCTTTGAGGCAGTCCTCATGAAAAACATGTTTACATAAACAATATGTCTTATTCATTTGGTTTGAAAAAATCATTTGTTTGCAGTATAAGCATTTGGAAGCCATTTGTTGGATAGAAATGTATCAAAATTCCCTTTTAATTTTTTAAATGAAGAATATATCTATGCTGATTATGTAGACAAACAAAAAACATGAAAAAATTCAATATTTACCAACAATTTTAACAAAATGTTGTCAAAATCAGTATTATAACATTTTACATTTATATATAATATACAATATAATATTAACAATTTAATTAATCACAAAAAATCAATGATAAATACTAAAGTGACTTACCTCAAATTGAGTGATATTTAAAAAGGAAGTAAATTTTACTGCCTTCTTCTCTGAAGACTGTGAAAATAATACACAAGAAAACTTGTTAGAAAAATACATAGATGAAGATAAAAGTTATCACAAAGCTATTTATAATAGAATTGATCAACTTCAAAAGATATGGATATTAAAAGTTGAGAAAAATTTTACAGCTTTAAAAAAAAAAGTTCAAGATGTGAGCGATAAAAGAATAAATATTTTAAATGATCTTTTTAAGCAAGATATTACTTTGAAAAAAAATTGTGATGAATTAAAAGAATTTTTAAATAAAAAAATTGAATTTGAATTCTTAAAAGATTTTTCACTTAACTATTCCTTGGAAAGTATGGATTATATACAACATTTTGTAAAAGGTGGAAGGAAACTGCAATTTTCTGCAAAATGCAAAACTGATAAGGAAATTAATTATGCCATTGAAATGATACACTCCAATTCTGATGTGGAAAGTATTGACTTATCTTGTAATAAGAAATTGGGAGATGATAAATTTTCATTTATGGAAAATGTAGGAAAGGAAATACATTTCCTCAGCTTGTCAGTTCAGTTCTTTAACCATTAACTGGTTGTTTAAACTTACTTGTTTAGAACTAGAAACTCATTTACTCAATACATATTCTTTGGACGAAATACTGGTATTTTGTTGAATTATTTCTACGGAAATTACATTTGTTAAGACTATTTGCGGACGAACTTGAAAGGTTCTATAATTGATAAATGATTGGAAAGGACAAATACTGTTCTGAAGAAGCAGAAATTCCTACAATTACAATACAACAAAGTGCACCCATTCAACATAAAATTTCTACAATTACAATAGAACAAAGTACACCTCTTCTTATTCAATAAGCCTATAGACATGACTCCATGCAAAAATTGAGAGAAATTATTCACCCTCTTTTAAAATGTCTGAAATGTTGCCAAAATGAAAAGAAGTGTAAAGAATATTTTCTCTTTTGTTGTCTGACATTCCCAACAAAAAATTTTTACCTCCATTGTAAAGCTGATAATGATTGATTTCTTTATTGCTCCCACCAGCTTTAAGCATTCAATACAAAACATTATTAAAATATATAGAAGAAGAAAAATATTTTCTGAATAATAAAATACTACTAGTCCTACATTTTTAGGTTAAATGCTATGTTTAATAAAATAGCCTGATCTGTTTATTTAAATTATTCATGAGAAATATTTGACAATTTCTTTGGTTTTTTGTAAAGATATAGAAATATTTCAAAGACTGTTTTATTTAAATTGTCTCCTCATCTATTGTTAAAAAATGCTTAAAAGCACCCAACTTTTTTTAGTTATCCAAAAATCATGAAGGCATTTACAATACATAACTTTGCTCTTCTTTTTCTGAGTTTTGGTTGTATGATTTTTAGATTATTTTTAATATCAAAGCAAATTAATATGTTTTTATTTATTTACAGTAATTACAGTTCATTCAGACAGTTTTAGTCTTAAAGTTGAATCTCCAGCTCAAATTTTGGAAGATACTAATACTTACTACATTAATTTCCGACAAATCACTGGAACTCCTACTTGCAGGTGTCTTTTTACATTAACATTCAAATCAGAAATCTATCAATTTAATTTGTTTTACAGCTATACACTTACAAAACCAGATGGAACCATTTTACTACAATCCTCAAAATCAGTAAATTCTGGACTTGTATTTGCAAGTGTCCAAGGCAGTTTGTTTTCAGGAACAACTGAGAATTATGTACTGACCTACACTTATACATGTACCAGTGGAGGGACTACACTTGAATTTGAAGTTAGAGGATATGTTTATTCACTTGAACGTATGTATTATCAATATTCATTTTCAAAATTTTTTTAATTATTTGTGATGTTTTTGATGTTTCATTAGAATATGGTAGTGGTAATCTACCTATAGGCTATGGTATTGAAATTGAGATGTCAACTGAGCAAACTTCACCATTTAGAGTCAAAATTAAAGGTAATACTGGTGTTGGCTCATGCAGGTAATTATTACAATGACAGTCAAATTTTGCAACATCAATTTTACATCTACTTTTGTCTACTTTAGCATAACTCGACCAGACACTTCTATAGCTACAGTAGATAATATTGGACCAGTTACACTTGGGCAAGGATCATTGACAATTGCAGTTACTAAAACTGGTTCCCAAGAGTCCTTTTTCATAGCTGCAAGTTGCAAAGCAAGTGGAAAAACATTCCAAAATGAAATTCCAGTTTACTTTTCACCCAATGCTCCTTCACCATGGGCATCTGCAACTGGAGATCCACACTTTGCACAAAATGTTGTTGACAAATCAACTATGTCTACTAAACAAATATGTTATGATGTAACTGGGAAAATGGGAGATTATATATATATTGCTGGATTTTCTCACAGTAGAATAAAGATTTTTGGCCAACTGAAAGATGATTACTATATGCATAAAATTGTCATTCAATCTCCATCTGCCAACATCACAGTATCATTAAAGGATATTCATCTTGGCCAAAAAGATACCATTCAATGGAATGCAAACTCAAAGCAAATGACTTTGCAAACTAATCAATTGAAATGTGAAATTGCAAATGGGAAAAAGATTATTTTCACTGAATTAAAGTCATTAAATGCAATTGCTGTTGAGAAATCTAAGCACTTTTTAGGGGAAATGCACCTGGATGTAGGCTTTAGGCTTATGCCTAAAGATTACAATGAAATGAGTGGACTAATTGGAGATATTGGCCAGAAAAAATTTAAATTCTTCAGAGCAGTTCAAATTGGAGAAGATAGTTTAAACAGTGAAATGGTTTCTATTCAAGTTGACAACAAATTTTTGAGAGGAAGTGTTGTACAAAGAAATAAAAAGTCTTGTTGGTTGCTTGATGTAAATGACATTTTGAAACCTTTGAAAACAACTGACTATCTTTTCAAAAGAATTGATTAACATTTAAATTAAATATAATATTTACAATTTATATTTTAGGATTTACAGAAGGTAAACCAAACTATTGAGTTAAGTAATACTGTTTCCTAAATTTTGTATATGACATTTGCCTAATGAAAAACAATCTATAATGTAAACAATTTATTTTATGGAATGTATGAAGGCATAAATACAGACTAACTTTTTGAATTGGACATGAAACAATCTTACATAAGACAATAATGTATTCTTAATAATTCATACATTTAAAAGAATGATAACATTATGTAAGTGGATACAACAGAAAACATCCCTAAGTGCATAGTCTAACCCTAACCCTAACTAAGTCCTTGTCACTCCTGAACATTTTTGATTACCCTGACCCTTAGATGGAACCCCCCTAACTACAAATCAAAGTCTACTTCACTTGTCCTATGAAATTCCTACAATCCTGATACAACAAATTGCATTTTTAATGCAAGTGTACTATTAGATCCACTATAATAATGTACATTCTAATCCCATGTTTATAAAATACAGATTATGATCCTCTAACCAGTACCCAAATTAGTGTTTGTCATGAACCAGCATCTTACTAACACAAGAACAGAAACACCAAGTTGGAAATCAAATCATTAGAAACAGTTATGTGAGTGGCCTAACCCATAACCCTAACCCAAACTAACCCTGTACCAAATTTCAAGATAATTGGAGCACTTTGAAATTTTTTTGATAATTTCAGTGGTTGACTCATAAATGATCTTAGAGCAAGAAACTGTTGGAGCTGATGGAAAGAAAACCAAGAGACCAGTTTCATTTCCATCAAAATTACTTATCAATTCACAGCTCAAGTATGCTGCTGTACTGCTCTTGCTGGCAAAATCTATGCGTTTGCAAGTTATAACAATACTGGTTCTACTCAAACCTTTAAACAAATGTTTAAATTAAAATGGTTTATTTGCAATAATAATACTTAAGCAAGTAACAATATGAGGGTTCGATAGCAGAGTAGATAGTTAGTAAAAGCAGGTTGCCAAATTATAATCCTAAGATTAGGGCCACATGCCAAACATGTGCCACAGCAAACAGGCCTGTCTCATCAGCATCTGGTGTTTGACCTGCATCTTTTCCATGTTCTTTGTTCCTTTGTTAATTCCCCAAGTAGCCACCATCTGTTACAGTCAAAGAGTCTATTTCTTACGAAATAGAGTTCTTTCTAAAGTACTAAAAGCTAACTCTACGAAATAAAAGTCTTTCTAAAGTTCCACCACTATAATTCCTACAAAATATAAGTATTTCTATAGTTGCACCCGTCTAATTGCTATAAAATAGAAGTCTTTCTAATGTACCCTTATATCTAAGTGCACAGATAATTTCAATTTGAGAAGGAAAGTGTTATTGGGCAAAAATTTGGCAGAGAAGGAATCTAGAACTCTCACCAAATAATGGAGAAAGTGATCTATTGGAGAAAGATAGCAACAATGTAAAAAATATATAGAAATCAATGTAATTTGTAGGAATTTCATTCTTTTCCCAACAGTAATCATCTGTACTGCTCATTTAATAACACACCAGAGTCCAGGGGCCAAAAGCCAATGAATAATAAAAAGTGGGAGAAACTGAATCATTTTTACAAAACGAAAGTAGAAAAGAATAGGGAATTTTTTTCTACAAAAATTTCTCTTTTGAATTCTGTCCACTTAATCATTTAGACAATATGTCTTCACTGAAACAGGTCAGAAATTG